TATATATTTATGTTGTAATATTATAATATATTAATTTAATTAATATTAATATTAAATTATATATATATATATATATATAGATATATTCAACCCAACTTTACAGCCATGTGTTGTGACTTAGTCTACAATTTTACCTTATCCACTCGTCCAATTAAAAATTGTAATTATTGAACAATTGTATAATGGACAAATGCAAAAGAAGATTATGTAACATTTAGTACAGTTAGTCACAATTGGGTTGTAACTTTTCAACATTAACATTCAAATATAAAACATAATAATACACTAGTGTGAATATTTTCTTACTTGTCCCTTGCATAAGAAGACATTTTAATCTTCTGCTACGTTGGAATAGTGTTTTCATGGTTGAACCAGTGACCTTGGCACAAAAATTCACTGCCAGACATTCTAATTGTATGCAATTTGATGAAAATGCATCTATATGGGAATCATCGACGAAATTGATACCGTATAAATTGATCACTCTTAAATTAGGTGTTGCTGATTTTAATTTGTGAACGTTTATCACCTCGTAAATTTCTTCTTCCTCTTCCTCAATTTTTTCATAAGTTCCTATCGAATTTATTTAATAAATTCAATTAATTGCAATAAAAGTTTCATATAAAAAAAATAATAATATAATAAAAAAAGTGAAAGTGTAACAACGTTACCAATCAAATGAAGAATTTCTAAGCCATTGATGAAATTATAAATTTTTCTCATGAAACCTTCCATAAATATGACTTCTGACAAACATATGCACATGTATTTGAGTTTAGTCGGGAATGCTTGCATCTCTGAGAAATCATGAAGTTGCATGGCAGTGGAAAAATCAAGAAGCATGTGAGTCAAATTTGGACACTTGTTTGCTAATTCGTGTAAAACGGTGTGAGTTATCAATTCGATCGGTAACTCGATGTATCTCAATGATGCACCAAAACGTACACTGTCAATTTATTATAATAAATATTTTCATGAAAAATTTAAACAATCAATCGATAGGGATTAGGAAACAACAAAATAAATATAGAAAAATATTATTCCTATTTTAACATTAGATATACCAGACCAGTCATTTTGATCAGCCATTTTAATACATAATTTCTACTTACATGTAACATTTGAGTTCTGTAAATAATTATTATTAAGCGTTTTGTTATTTACAAATATCTATAAATCAATTTATCTATTAAAATGATTATTGTTAAACATTTTTTGTTATTTTTGACTAGTTTGGTAGAAATAGGTATATTGAACATGGTGGTATATCTAGTGTTAATATTTGGCATCGTACAATAAATTTATATTACGTCAAACTGTAAATTGTTTCAATGATGAAATAATATAAGATTTGTTCTCTCTAACCTTATTAATTGAAGTAAACTTTCGAGTGATCCAACATGGAGTCCACTGATTTCCGGTCTCAACGATACGTGCTTCCAAAGACGCGTGTCATAAGCAATTTGACGCCATTTTTTACAAACCCTTGCGACCTTGCATATCTCACGATGTGACAAATAACTGAAGATATTTAATATCACCTTGTCTGGCAGTTTTTCTATTGTCTAAAAAGACAAAAAAAAAATCAAGAAAAAGAGAACAAACATTATGTAAGAAGATGAAATATTTTCAAATGCAAATCAAATATTTTATAGTTTTAAATTAATTGTTATAATTTTTGAAATATTAAAAGTCTCTAAAAAGATATAATAATTAAAAAAAAAGAAAAATTTGTGCTTGTCGAGAAAAATAATAGTCGTTTAAAAATGTCTATTCAATTTTCATAGAACAACAATTAATTTTGTTAAACATTGCGTTAACAACTTACGGTGGCTGCAAAACGACTTTTAATAACACCACCTTCGGAAACGAACATCTGAGACGTTTCCACAGCGATCTGACCCCATACATCTACACCTCCTAGATCCATGGTGATATATTTTTTTGTTTTATAATAAACAAAAAAAATTAAAAAAAAATACAAAACCTCGACCGTACTCTTTCTCTCTCTCTCTCTAACTCAATTGTTTAATTAATTAACTTAACAAAAATTATCAACGTTTATTTTTTTATATCTTCTTCTACTACTTTTTTTCTTATTTATTCAAGTTCAATGTCACAAAATTACACTTAACGTTGAGTAATTCGAAATAGATTTTTGTTGTTGTTGGTGGAGGGGTGTATACGTGTGTGTGGTGTGTGTATGTGTTGTGTTTGTGTGTGTGGTGTACGTAAGAATATTTCTTTTTATCGTGGAAATGTTGTTGTTTTGATTAAATTGTCACACGATCAAAGCCTATAGAAAATAAAACAAAGGGGGGAACAACAAAAAAAAATATATATATATATATATATAAATAATCGAAAATGAGCACAAAATTGTTGATGGAGAAAAAAAATCGTGGCGGGGGAGAAACTCGCGATTCGCGTTTCGCAGAAATCACAAGTCGCAGTCTTCACTGGCCTTTTAATCGGATCGCGCATGCGCGTTGTCCTAAATATAAGACACTACTAGAGTCTCGGTTCCACTTTATTTTAGAATCCATTACCTGTTACCATCGTTTTAACGTGCCAACGTTCTTCTTTCTCTCTGTTTAACAATTTATTCCGACATTTTCTAATTTTCTTTTTCTTTTTTTCTTTTAATTTGTTAATAATAATAATAATAATAAGAAGAAGAAGATAATCAAATAAACTTCAGTCACTGAATTATCATCCAATGCCAAATGATCGTGCAAATTTACGAGTCTTATTGTATGACAAAATGTGATGACGTTTTTACTGTTATGTTGTATATTTTATGATTTTCTTTTTTTTTTTTTTGTATATTTCTCAACGATCATAATTCATAAATATGAAGTATATTATGTACTATCAATATGAAATTTTCATTTGGGGGAATTAATTGTTGATAAATAATTGAATAGAACAAACGTTACTGATAGAACGTGAGAGGCATACAAATAGTTGGCTAGATTTCAACAAACTGTACCCAGCTTTTATTGGAATGTCGACAATTTAATAATATCTCAATTAATATTTAATTACAATAATTCAAAGTAAAATTTGTAATTCATAAATTTGTAGATGATGTAGGGTATGAGGAGTTTTGTAGATTATTTTAAAAATCAATTTTTCTTTTTTTTGGTTTAACTGAATGAAACACTATTTAGGATAATATATTTTTTCAATTGCGAAACTACAATCTTAAATGTGAGTTTAATAAATTAATAAAAGAAGGATTAGTCGGATTTTTTAGATTAAAAACTTTTAACTAAGTTGTTATTATATTATATATATTGTTAAGACAATATATATAATATAATAAATATATATATAATAAAAATATATATATATTGTATATAATATTTATATTGCAATATAATATAATATTATAATTATATAATAATATTATAATTATAATATATAATATAATATATATTATATATATAAAATATATATATACAATCTATATATATTACTAATACATAATAATACAAAACATTTATAAAGCTATGTATATATATATAATATTATGTTAGGTAAACCCTTAAAAGTGCATGACACAATACATTCGAACGGTTTCCTTATTTTCCAATACAATTTTGTATTGAAATTCATTCCAATTTGTTCTTTATACATCGATTTTATTATCTATACTTTTAATCGTGAAGAAAAACGCCATTTTGAAATGAAAAATAAAATGGAAGATACACCTACCTAGAAATTTGATTCGAATTTCATCAATTTATGATACATCGAATAATTAATAATAACGATGATAATAAATTGAATAAATAAATATTTAATATATAAATTATATTGATAAATATGTTGAGTAATTTTTTAAATAATATTTATCGATCTGTTTTTATTTTTTATCGAATAAAAAAAAGTAAATGAAGGTGATGCCTAAGAATGACTGTTCGAACTTCATTTGAACTTGACATGAACTTCACTCGAACTTTATTTCCTTTTTTTTTTTTTTAACCATTCTACCTAAATAATATAATTTATTTTATAATTATAATATAATTAAATATTTGCAGAATAATAATATAATACAGTAAACCCCATACAGTAAAATAAAATAATAAAATAATTCAAAATATTATATGAATAACAAATAAAATCTAATAATAAAAATATTATTGCAATAACAATTAATAATACATAATATAACATAATAAAATCCTAACATATCCTAATTAATAAATAAACAAAAAAAAACAACCTAACAAACCAAAAAAAAAAGAAAAAGAAATTTGCCCCAACAAATTTGCAAAACTTCTTAAGTTCCTTTCGCTATTTTTTACTATTTTATTTTTATTTTTTTATTATTATTATTTATTATTATTATTATTTTATTATATTTCTATTATATTTATTTTTATATTTTATTTATTTATTTTTTCTTTATATACCCCTTTATGGTTTCTCTCGTTATTTGCACCAATCGCTGCGTAACGAGCTAACGCATTATATTTTATTAACATTTATTATTATTTTATATTTTATTTTATTATTATTATTTGATTTAAATGAAAAACAAATGTTATTAAAATTTACCTTTATTGATGGTTTAAATCTACGTATACTAAGTCCAAGATCTTCTCTGGATATAGCACTGGTAGCATGTTCAAAGTTCAAACGTGTCCAAGTACTCATTTTTGTACAAACAATTTCATGAATTAATTGAATACATGAAATGATTTTTTTTTTTCAAAGTTTTCAACAGTTGAATAGAAAAACTATTAAATCGAAACAATGTTCTTGACCGATCTAAGAGAGTGAACAAGTCCAACTGTGAAGAGTCTACTTTAATTAGTTATAAATAAAGACAAGAGTGAGCTGAACACATACAATATAACCTATGTGTGCATGTACCACTCGTGTGTGCCAGAATAGATAGCTCTTATTGACATTTTCAAAAGGGACATCATCGATAAATACATTTTAGTTTCTAACAGGAAATTAATAAGTAAAAGAGAGATAGAGAATATCTGTTTAAAAACGTGCCGATAAATGTACCAACATTTTTGACCAATGACGATCAACGTGCTTGCCAAAAGATGACTCTTAACATTCCTGGACAATTTATGTCTTTATGCGAATGCACGTGTTTGTGTATATATATATATATGTGTGTGCGTACGTTTTGTAAGGAATTTGCATGATCAAAAATATTTCACTATTAATCAATAAATAAATTTAATATTATTATATTTTATATTGTGAAATATTATATAATATCAAATTAGTAATAATATAATAATAATATAATAATATATTAAATAATATAATATAATATATATATATATATATATATATATATA